TGGTCTCACCACCCCCCACGAAAGCAGAGCCTGGTGCATACACCAGCAAGGCCTGGTAGAGAAGTTTACCCCAAGTATTTTTTTCCCGGGGAAACCACTAAATACTAAATAACTGAATAACTAAGCCACTAAATAATAAAAACTGACTACTAAATTGCATCACTCCCGAAGTGCAGGAGTGAACAGTTTAAGAAATGTCTTCTAAAATAAACTTACAACATGCATATCACCATTTGAGCATCTTTATTACCAGATTTTAAGTCAAATCAGTTGATTACAAAGTTTTGCGAGAAAAGTACCAGTATTTATATTTATTTAGCTACCTTCGTTTTTCTCGGTATCATACCAGTGCGATACCATTTTATTTTCCTTCCTTTTCGATTGTCTTTAGAGGTACCATATGCCGCTTAAAATTTTGACCAATTTCTCTGAAAGATGCTCGAACTGCAAACTTGTACGTATTTCATACACAAATTGGATTAATTCGCCAGCCGCCCAACATGTTTGATATGCACGCCAACCGTGAACAAGTCACAAGGGAATGAAGGAGCCAGTTTGAAGCACGGAACTTATCTTTACTGGCATTTTTACCCTCTTAGCCTTTGGTTAACCGTTTCTTGGTTCATGGCGGTGCTCATAATGATAAATTCAAGCCTTTCGAGTGTCCTGACGCTCCAGGCTACCTGGCAATGCTATTCTAATGCTCTCATACAGGGCTTTGGGACAGACCTGGCGCAGCTAATACAGAAGTGTTTGATAGCGAAAATTCTGCCTTTTGGAGATGTTTAACATGCACACCTCTTACGTGTTTCGCACTTTAATCTCGAAGGTTGGTAGGCATGAGTGATTTTATATTTGGGGGGGTGAGTCGGATGACTCTGTCTGCCAGCACAAAGACCATGCAAAAGGTACGAATTTTGTTTTTGGGGAGCAGGAAGAAGCCAGTAAGTCTCCTGTGGACCAAGTAATTGCCTACCTTACCTGCTTTCAACACATGATTGGTAACCAGAAGTTAGCCATTTTCTGTTTTAATGCATCGAGTTTGCCATAAGACAAATTATGATGCCACAAGGTATGCGATGGGCTTATTTTGTTCCATATTCTTGGTTATTTGCCCCAAATTTCTTAAAGTGGTCCCTCATGGCTGCCTTAACCAGATGTTTTCTATAGTT